CAGAGTTACCTGGTGTTAAGTTGACCAACATGAGCTGAATGAAGCCGTTAACATATATTTGAACCCCTTTTACTACGTTTTTTCTCCGCAAGTTCTACCACTAATTTCATACTACTTTTCTAGCATCCAAAGCAAACAGCTCTACAGGATCACTTGCATGAACTGCAGTCACTACTGGGTGGATACAGACATGTCAAGGCAAGCACCAGTGTTCCTGATAATGAGATTCCAGGGAAACCTCTCCCCTCAGTCATAATAGGGTTCATGTTATGCAGAAGCCATGAGCAGCTATGTCTCTAAGTAGCACTTTTCTTTCTCATCTATTAAATGGGTATAATCATACTAACCTGCCAGGTAAGGTTTCTGTCATGAATGGCACCACAGTACGTACAAAGGACTCAGTGGAGTGTGTGACACATAGGATATACTCAGGAAATCTGAGCCACAAGTTTTTTTTAACACCAAAGAGCAGAACTGTGTAATCACAATTTTGCGGGGAGGGGGGTGTAAAGAATTTCTGTACAATCCTTAGATTACCAAGGTCGTTTGTGCCAAAATAACACAACCACATGTGCCACCAGTTAACACATATAGGAAAAAGGATGAATTGCTCTTTGAAAAAGATATGTCGTGTTAAACTCAAGAAGCTAAAATAAAAAATAAAAAAAGGACTGAAATTTCTGCGGAGTTTTTTTTGTTTTTAGTGGTGCTGCAGTCCATCACTTATCTACCCCAGCCAGGGTACAGCCCAGTGTTTTGAATAAGGTTGCCAAACTACTTTAGGTTTGAAAAAGATAGAAGTTTGGCCTCCAGATAACGTTTTCATTACCACTAGGGCAGGGATAGTAACTTGAGAGCCTTGGGGACCTAGGCTTAGAGCTTATTTTAGTGCCCGGTACTCCTGTGGGCGGCCCGGTCTATTCATCTTTATCATTTCATTCCTCTCCATGTTCTCTGTCATGTCTGTGGGACTGAGCACAGAGGAAATCTCAGAGACTGTATAGTCCAGGGGATATTATACTGTTTGTCAAAGTAAAATAAACGTTTCTTGGAAAGAATTCCAATATATACCAGAAAAAAGAGGAGTTTCTGTACTGGGAGCAGGGGCTCTCACCACACCCTTCCCTAGATGTGCCCTCCTGTTCAACCAACAGCTTAGCTTGAGCCTTAGAACTGAGGAAACAGCAGGCCCAGAAAGCAGAGACTCAGAGAGGAAAAACGGGAAGGCTGGCAGAGCTGGAACTGGGAGGGAGTTCCCTGGAGCCCTGGCCTAAAGCCCTGCAGGAGACCTCCAGGAAGAAAGTATTAGGGAGGAACTGCATGTCCAATCTAAGGACACTCTGTGCTAAAGAAGTTGTCACCATAAATGGGATGAGATTTTTTTGTTTACACTACTCTGTAAATTGAAACATTTGGTAAGAAACATGGGCCTTTTTTTCAGTTATGTGAGGGGCCTGCCAATGCAGCGTCAGAAGTGTTCTGTGGACTTGAGGAGAGAAAGACCGTTGCAGTCAGACCTGGTTTGCTTCATACACGCTACTCACTGTCAGATGTCACTGTTCCCAATTCCCATAGCATGTCGGTCACAGGGCCCCTCAGTCCATGTTCGGTGTGTTTTCTTTTATGCACCCTGCCCCTCATTACATGGCCCAAATCAATCATCCAAGGTGGCAGGCTGGGGTGACTGTCGTTTTTAACCACTGGACCAAAGCAGCTCATGTGCATAGGAGAACTGAAGTTCTAACCAAGTGAATATGCCGCAGGGCAGCTTCCCTCTGGAAGGACTCTCAGTGTATTGACAGGAGATGAAGACAGGGAGCAGCAATGAAAGATGCACCTTCTCTACCAAGGCCAGTCTGAGCTACTTCTTGTTCCCTTAAGTCTCACTTGAACTTTTTATGGAACGAAGGAAGAGCCCTGGAACTGGAAAGACCTGGGCTCTGTCCTGAGTGTGTCACCAATAGGCTCTACATGGCCTTCAATTAGTCAACTGACCAGCCTGAGGTCAGAGAATGTGATTTTTAGAAATGCTATTCACATAGAGAAATGCTGACTTCCAAAGACCCAGATCTAAAAACAAAGAAACAAAGAAAAACACGCAGAAAACTTATTGTATATTATATTCTAGGAATAGGGAACGAGATCTTATCTATGCATAAAGAAAAATGACCAGAAAAATAAATTGTGAAAAGAATTCCCAATATTTACTGAGCATCCCCTAAATGCTAGGCACTCCTGCAGGTGCTGAGGGAAGGGGCAGCAGACATGCACTGCAGCCCCTGCTCTCCCACAGGGGCTGTGCTGTCATCTCTGGATGATAGGTCCTTGTAGCTTCAAGTTAAGATTTTCAGAAACTCTCGACACTTTGCAATATGTCATTATTTTTCAGTCAGATAGCTAAAAATACAAACACGACTTTCCCAAATGTATAAATGAATTTCAAAAGAGGAGGTTCGAGTCACGATGCAAAAATGAACAGTAATATGTTTAAAATGCACCTTGTGTTTGATGAAAAATCCCTAAGCAGCTGAGCACAAAGTACTCTTAATGGTCACTACTGGGTGATGGACTGTGGTTTGAGTGACCTTATTACATTTCATCTGCCCCCCAAGTTTTCTACAGTGAGCTTTGAGCGAGTGCCAGAACTGAAGGATATGTCCTTAAACGCCCGGAAAACCCAAAATGCGTCCGGGGACCACGTCCGGGAAGGAGAAATAAACGTGGCTAAGCAAGCCGGGCAGCATCGAGGAAGAAAAGGGGATTTGAAAAGCAGCGTTCCAGCGCAGAGAACACAAGTTCCCTCCGCTGAACCCGCCGAACGACCCTTTTGGCCAAGATGGCGGCTGAGGGCGGGAGGCGCGGACAGTGTCCGCCAATTAGAGCAAAGACTCCGAGCCTTTTTTTCAAACACGAAGGGCGGGGACACGGAGCGCCGCCGCACAACGCGATGCACCACTGCCCCCTGCAGTCCGGAGATACTGAATCCCACAAAGCGCAGGGAAAATCCGTTTTCTGTGCTGACATTCGGCCCCAGGTCGGAGATGCCCTGGCTTCCCAAGTCGCCAGGATGATGACAAGTAACGAAGAAAGGAAAAGAACCTGCCCCAAAGCCCCCGAAAAGGCCACATCCCTAGTCCTGGCCTGGGACCCACGGCGACGGGGCCTGACGGCTTGAAACCGACGGAGGTCGGTCCAGGAGCTGGTGCTGAGCGCGGATTGGGGTGTTCTGGGCATGCGCCGCGCTGCGCAGTGAGGTAGCTGCCAGTCTCCCTGCCAGGGTCTACCGGAGGTTTGGTCGTGGACCTGGCTGCAAACTGTCAGCTGAGGGATGGGACCCAGGGTGGACAAGTCCTGGTTTCGGACTGCCCCAGGCGCCCCAGGATCCCGCCCGTGCACCTGTACCACTCCCCTCTGCGTCCCCCTC